TATATATATATATATATATATATATATATATATATATGCGCTAAGTAGGATTTCATCATAATAAAATCATAATAAAATAATTTTTATAATAGGCAACAAAAATACACCAAATGATATAATGATATATAGCTATGATTAAATTAATTATTGACTGAATTAATACAAATTGAATTGTATTGAATTATATATAAAGAATAAATTAGGATATTATGGAAAATAATGCCAAAGGTAAAGATTAATAAACCTCATTTTTTGAGAACAGCAGATCAAAAATTTGTAAAAGAATAAAATTTACTTATTCCAGTGTTGCAAATCCAGGTACTGAAAATATTTTTATTCAAGTTTCACTGCCTCTTAATTATATAACATTTTAAGTTATAAAAGTGTCTGTGAGGAGATTATGTGATTACATATATTTTCCTCATGATTCCCTACCTAATAATATTATTTATCCCATTATGTTCTAGTCTGATAAATCTTATTTGAGATATGAATGCCATATGTAGTTATTCTTTGCTTAAAGCCCTCTGGAACACCTTCACAGTGGCAGCTACCAAGATTTCAGTGGGAATTTCATTTCAGAGACCAGGCACCATGACAAAGAAGGTGTTTAATGTGCGTAGAGCTCAAAGCATTGTTAGAGACCCTACACACCCACTTTGGTATTTCTAGCAGGACTACCAGATTCTGTAACAGATTTGTTCCCTATGCCAATCATCTGGTAAACTCACAAGAGACGTTTTTGTCACCATGTACATGTATACATCTAAACTAGTCTGTGATGTTTTTCTGTGTCATATAATAATATATGTGGGTATATGTATAATCTTTTATTTATTTATTCATATTTTTGTCATGTTTATGTAGTGTGTATTGGAGTAGTGACCCTTTGAGAGCTGTATGCAATGAAATTTCCTTTTAATGTATGCCGATTAGTGTACATTTAAAGTAACAATAAAGTTATTCTTAGTCTAAGGTATGTTTCTTGAACCCAGGAAAATGACACTATTTAATTGAAGGGACCCAGAAGTTGCCCACCCTCTTGGTCTAAATTCACCCAAACACAGTTGCCAGAGCATGCACTGCACATTGACCAATAAAATGGAATTGAATGGAATAGAATAGAATTCTTTATTGGGCAAGCATGATTGGACACACAAGGAAAATGGCAAGGTTGACACACTAAACTAAAGCCAAAAAATAACAATAAAAAACAGCCTGATATTGGCAGCAAGGGCAAATCTATAACAGTTTAAAAAAACAACAACAGCAAAAGTGGCTTGAAAATGTCCAACCTTAGCTGAAAGAAAAAGACAAAGATTTATTAGACCAAATGAATGAGGCACTACAGCCAAAGGTTAAAAATAATATTTCCCAAGAAAATAAAAAAGGAGCAAACTTGATGGGTAAAACCAACAGAGATTTAGAAGAGATTCTGCACCACTGAACACTCTGTAATAAGCTGTAGCAAAAGAAATAGGTTCTCGATTGTCCAAAAAGAAACAAAACTTTGGGTTGAACAGAAGATAAGAGGCTGGAGCTCTGAGGAGCAAAAGGTGTGCAACTGCTATCTGGAAGACAACAAAGATGACAGTTATCATTGCTGGTGACTTTTTTTAAAGAAACGAATATACAGCAGCTTAACCCACTGATCACGAAATATTCCATAACGATTCAAGGAAAATCAGTTAATGGAATGATGGATCAGTTGTCTAGACTCTTCAAATTTACTGACAGTTATCTCCTTTTACTCATCTATGCAGGCACAAATGGCATTGCATGAAGCTAGACATTGAAAGGAAAAAGCTGAAGAACCTGAAAGTTTAGATCATGTTCATATCCATTATTCTAGACAGGGAAGGGGGTCATCCCCTTGTTCCAAATGGTGTAGATAAACTGATGGTTAAAAATGGCTTCAATGTAAGATATTTTGCTTCTGGAGTCATAGACAGCTGGAACAAGATGGAATGCAAGTCCAGAAAAGTTGGGAATCATGTGTGTGGCTAAAGCTTGTCAGATATGATATGTCAGAAACTCAGAAGTAGAAACTTCAGATACATGCTTCGGTACCACTAGAGTAAATGGGAGTAGTAATTGTTCTGCACCTTATTAAACTACTTAGTGAACAATCATGAAGAGTAATTACCTGGGAAAAAGAAAGATGAGTTTGAATCATTACTACAGAGAGGTAATATGTTTTAGTAAGTATAATTGTAAATGTTGAGAGGATCTTCATGAATGGGACATTATAATTACAGAATACAACTAATTCAACAGAAGATAAGCAACAGAAAGGGAAGAAGAATTGCACTGTGTTAAAAAAAATATCCATTATCTTTATAGAAATCAAAGTGAATGAATTTGCTGAAAAAGTGTCAATAGCTTCTAAAACAAATGGAAGGTAGAATAAAAAGAATATTGCTGATGCTGTTCATTTTTGAAACTCCAATGCAGATATAATGTTTGCCCAAAGCAAATTAGTGATCTTTCAGAAAGAAAGAGAGTGGTAGCATTAGAGCCTCTTATTATCCTGACATCTGTTGTGAAACATTCTCTTAAGGATGACTCTTCCCAGAAATTCATAAATTTTCTTGTTGATGATGTTTTCCTTCAGAGGCTGGAAAAGAACACAGGGCAAGCATACATGCTTGAGTTATCCTACAAATAAGGACAATTCAGTACAAAAAAATTCCCTCAAAATGTTCATGAAAGCCATGAACGTTTTGAACGTTTTGAGGGAGATTATCATGTTATACAAAAATTCTTGCTAGTGAGTGAAACTGTAACTGAATGCAGTGAAATGTTTACTTGGACTGAAAGAAAGCAAGTTGTATTATATTCAGAGCAATAATAAGAGGTATTCCATAGTAAAATATAAAGTAGATGGGATTCCATATAAACACACACACAAACACTGAATTCATACATTAAACCAAAAATGGGCTTCTCCTGATATGATAAAAAAGAAAGGATGTAAAAAAAAAAATATGGAAACTGTGAGAAAATACCAAAGAGTTCTGCTATTGTTTTACAGATTACTCCTAAGAGCTTGTGATTATGCTGATTATTCAAGACTTCATAAGTATCATAAATGTTTCTTTGACAGGAAATCTTTCAAATAATTAGGAAGTCACAACAAGAACAGATTTGTAGCACTAAATAGTTTATCACTGGAAAGTCAGACAAGGCTACTTTCTATTATCATACCTGCTCAACCTTTACCCATATAATACTATACCCATTCTACTCCCCCTCCCCACCTGAAAGGAACTCTGTCCCAACTGTCAGTTTCCTTATATGGGCGTGCCAGCACATAACTCATCCATCCTGAGAGCTGGCCCGATCACATGGTTTCGTAGCGAAGCATGGGTATCCAGCATGGGTATTCCAGTTAGTCTGGAAGAATTGGAAGCTGGTGAAAGAAGTATTCTGAGATACAGATATGTTACTCTATTAGCTACAGAAACTGAAGAATACCCTAATAACCAGCATTATAGAAATAAAACGAGAGAACCAAACCGACTTTTT